TTCGTGTTGTTGTTGTTGTTGTCGTTGTCGTTGTTGCTGTTGTTGTTGTTGGTGTTGGTGTTTGGTGTTGGTGTTGGTGTTGTTGTTGTTGTTGTTGTTGTTGTTGTTGTTGTTGTTGTTGTTGTTGTGTGTGTGTGTGTGCGTGTGTGTCTCTGTGTGTGTGTGTGTGTCTGTGTGTGTCTGTGTGTGTCTGTATGTGTCTCTGGATGTGTCTGTGTGCGTCTGTGTGAATCTGTGTGGGTCTATGTGTGTCTGCGTGTGTCTGCGCGTGTGTGTCTGCGTGTGTGTGTCTCTCTGTGTGTCTGTGTCTGTGTTTGTGTGTGTGTGTGTCTGTGTGTGTGTGTGTGTCTCTGTGTGTGTGTGTGTGTGTCTGTGTGTGTCTGTCTGTCTGTGTGTGAGTGTGTGAGTGTGTCTGCGTGTGTGTGTGTGTGTTTGTGTGTGTCTGTGTGTGTCTGTGTGTGTGTGTGTCTCTGTGTGTGTCTGTGTCTCTGTGTGTGTGTGTGGTTGTCTGTGTGTGTGTGTGTGTCTCTGTGTGTGTGTGTGTGTCTGTGTGTGTCTGTGTCTGTGTGTGTGTGTGTTTGAGTGTGAGAGTGTGTGTGTGTGTGTGCGTGTGTGACTGTGAGTGACTATGTATCCCCGTGCAGCTAAAGATACAAACCGGCAGAGATGGAGAGCATACATACCGACAGATAGATATTTGCGTATATATATATATACTACGCCACCCGCCCAAAAAAAAAAAACTACCTCTGTTTGTTTTTCAGTGTGAAAACCAGTAGAATCAAGGCTTCCAAACGACGTAGTAAAACCCTCTGTAAAGACATAGAAACCTGTAACCCCCTTAGGAAGCCCCCAGACCCCCAAATGCTAAAGCTCAAATTCTAAGCCTTCAACCGGCAAACGCCCTGCATTACGCTTATGGTTTTCGCACTTTATGAATAAAATACAACCCAAACCCTCAACCCAAATCCCTTCGAGGACGCGGCATCTGCTTGCAGTCGGGACACCTTGGCTGATCCAAAACCACATTAACATACCAAGAATCAGAAACTGGTTTCTTTCCAGATTTGTAGCTCCTAAACACCATATACCATAAATCATATGTGAAGTATTTGGGCCCGTGCATAAAAATTGCGATAACCGTACAGATCTCTGTAAAGGAACCATATTCGAATTACAAAGGCCTTAAATTCATGTCCTGCATTTTTGGGACTCGTTCAGATGACGATTTTGGCGAGCTTACATATATTGATAATATAAGGATCTGAAAAATATATCATAATATCAGTAGAACTTTTTGCATGACCATAACAAGATCTGGGTATAAGATAACATAAGTATGTTGGGATAATATCGCCATTTGTTGTCCGACCCGTACAGCAGATTCCACTTCCAGGCTTTGTATTTCACAGGCGCCCAGCGAGCGCCCTTGCAACCGTAAGCCGTACGATGGTAACCCTCTCCTTCAAAGTTTGGCCATTTTTGTTTTTTACAGGACTTGTTAGGTAAAATCTCATGGTTCCTTTATGGTCATAGACCTATAATCGTTTTGGTAGCACTTTGGACGACCCCAACACATAGCCATTCATCTGACATGTCAAATGACAACTTTAGCACTCAGCTAGACTACAAGATTAGCCGTAAATCCGGAAATGACCACTGCTGCCGTGAAAAGCTGAAACTGAATGCTGTCAATGTACACCGAGAATTATAGCTAAGCAATCTAGGGCCTCAATCATTAAAAAGCGTTGTTTCCCCAAGCCATCAACCTAAAGCTGTTTGTGAGTACAAATTCTGGATGTTATGATAGAACTACATATAGAAATAATGATTGAAACCCATACGAATCACCAGGCCCGTGATCAGTAACACGGGCCATGAACCAAGGATCACGAATTTAATGAAGGACTATATCGACTGTAGATGGTGCTGGTCCTGAAAGGGTCGTGTCTGGGTACCCGGCACAATGAGGGATGAGGGTGCTAATGGCTGTGCGAGGCGGGTTATATTGACGTTAGGTACTGGTCCTGAAAGGATCGTGGATGGGTACCTGGCCCAACGTAGGCTTACCCGTCAACGTGGCTGTGCAAGGCGGGCTATAGTACAGAGCTTCAGGAACCAAGAACCAGGATTCGGACGAATTGGTTCTCACTCTTGGGCCGTGTTAATTAACACGGACGGTGTCAGTTAACACTGGACCAGGAACCAAGAACCAAGATTACCGGAAAGTTTTTTTGGCGAATCTTGTTCGCAGGCCTGGGCCCATGTTAATTAACACGGACCGTGTTAATTAACACCAAGAACCAAGATGCCCAGACAAGTTTTCGGACAGCATCTTGGTTCTTGCACATGGGCATGGGCCCGTGCACGGGTCGTGTTAATTAACACGGCCCCATGGAACCAAGAACCAAGTACCAAGATTGCCAGAAAATTTTCGGAGCGAATCTTGGTTCCTGGACCTCGTCTTCAACACGGGCCGAAGCGTGGGAACCAAGATTGGCCCAAAAAGTTCTCTGGGAATCGTGGTTCTTGGTTCTTAATTCCCAGGCCCCGTGTTAATTGACACGGGCCGTGTTAGTCCATTAACACGGGGTCAAGTCTGGAAGCCAAGATTGTCCCAAAAAAGTTTTCTGGGAGTCTTGGTTCTTGTTTCCGTGGGGCCGTGTTAGAATGTTGGATCTTGGATCTTGGATCCTGGCCCGAATAAGGTCTTATTCGGGCGTATTCGCTTATTCGGGAAAGTTCCTGCTGCCCAGGCCCGTGGCGAAGAAATCGATATTAACAATGAAAAACTTATTAAAACAAAGAATAGGTAGTTTGTGTTTTTTTGGGGGGCTTACCCCCTACATATATATATATACATATAC